GCGCGCAGCTTGCGAACCTTTCGAATGGGGATGTAAACAGTTAAGTTCCAGAAGATACGTTAAGTTGTCAGTCAACTCACAGACCACAGTTTAACGCCTTCACCGGTTAATGTTAATCGCTTTTTTTAAAGGTTGTAACAACGCATCTGCATGCTCTGGTGTTGTAGACGTCAATGGGCGGCGCTTATCACTTAACATCGGGCGAAATGCCTGCTCGCTCGGCAAATTTTCACATAGTCAATTTTTTTTAGTTACAGAAAAACGACATCGACTCCAAATATCTCGCTCTGTATTCATTTTACAAATGATTTTCAGGAGTTCCCTACGTATCTCCGGAGTCCAAGATCCAATTAAATTAATATGTGACTACATGGGAAGCATTTCAAATAAAAAAAGAATGATCAAAATCGGTTCAATCAATAGAAAGTTTTGTGGTAACAAATATTAAAAACAAAGCTTGAAAACAGAACGGTATTCGATTTTTGATCTTATTATTTTAAACAAAATCAAATGTCAATACAGAGAAATTCAATAGTGCACTGTACAGAGTCCTTTACTTTACTTTTCGCCGTTAGATGTAACGTGATGACGCGGGATGCTATTTTTTGTGTTCGCCGATTGTCAATCGTGATGTAATCGTAAAGACAAATATTGTGTGGCATGTACACAAGACAATTACGCGTTCGATATGTACAAAACACATGTTAGGCGTAACATTTAAAGGTACAAAGGCAAGCTCAAATCATGGCACTTAATGATGCCAAGACGGGAAAGAACCAATGTAAAGTAAATAAAAACAAAAGACATTGAAAGATGCTGGCGGACTATAAAGAAGTTCCACTCGAAGGTAAATTCTTAGTTTTCCATTTATCTTGAATTTTTAATCAAAGATATACATTAAAAACCAATTGAAAACTATTTGGGCAAGTTGCGCTTCTGTCTATTGCGTAAAGAGATCTCTTAATATTTTCCACGAATACAAAAATAAACCCTACAACTCATTCCCGCTAGGAGAATTTAAAAAAATCCAAATCATCATTCGAGCGCATTAATTAATTCATTCTGTTTGATGAATTGCAAATAAGGAACAACAATATATGACCCACAACAAAGCGCCTCGAAAGCCTTCGTAAACTCGGCCGTCACAAAACCTGTTTGCCGTGGAAATGGTAAAAAAATAACGCGAATGGACACACTTATTATTAAAAAAAAAAGAAAAGAATAAAAAAAACGAATTTAATAGGTATGTTTTCTTAAGTGGCAATATTTTGTCAACATGTATTTTAAGGCCAGCCAGTTAAGCCACCCGCACATTCTGAAAACCTAACAGGATTATTATCCCGACTTAAAATCTTATTTTTCACGATAGTAGGGCCACGCAGCAGCCTCGGCAGTTGCACGAATGGGCAGGCTCGTTCGGGTAAGTACCACGACCTCGCAGAAGACCGGCGTAAAGTGGAAGTATGACAAAAACTTTCGCGTTTCGTCTAGTGAGTGAGATGGCCGGAGCGCGGCTCGATTTTAATTCAATATACTAGACCGATAACCGTTGGGGAAGAAAGGTTCTCGAGTGGCAGCCTCGTACTGGCCATCGCAGTGTGGGACGACCCCCCACTAGATGGAGTGACGACCTGTGCAAATGTGCGGGAAGTCGATGGATGCAGGTGGCTCAGGATCGTACTTCGTGGCAGTCTATGGGGGAGGCCTATGTTCAGCAGTGGACTCAAACAGGCTGAAATGATGATGATGATGATGATACTAGACCGACCTGAGTTTGGTCCCCGGTGCCGGCACCAATGAAATTGTTAATTTTAAGTGCTGACTTATCACGTGCTCCGCGGTGAAGGAAAACAACGCAGTGGGACATGTATTTGCTGTTACTGTACTTAATTACTAAACAATTATTATAATTCATCTTTTTCACATCGGAGTATTTTTAAGTTTCGAGAACAGTTAACTTACGTTTGTTACTTTTGGGTAAAACAAATTACTCCTAAAGAATGATAGTGAAATAGTTTTTACATGCCTTTAAGTCCTTTAAGTCCACCAGCATGTTATTTCTGTTGTTTTTTTTTCTTGGTTAGCAAATAACTATTGGTAAAATGTGAAATTTTAGTAGAAATAAATTTCGAAAATTCATATTCAGCAATCAATCAATCATCAAATCAATAAAAGCATCATATCCTAAAAATATGCCATCTAGTCCTAAAAACGCTAAAAAGAAAGTAAATAGACGTCGAGATTTTCGCGCCGTAAAGCACCTGGGCACGTTTTTCGGATGGCGCGGGTTCAAATCCTGCTGCAGTGCCGAATTTTTTAAAAACCCACTTCTAAAGTTTTTCGGAATAAAAAAATATTAATATTTAAAAATGAAGAATTGAATCTTCTTGTTACTTGAAAACAAACACGTGAAAATTATTTCGTAGTAGCTACCGCACACTGCCCGGGATTCGCACGGGCGATGTATACATATAAATCGATGTATTATACATCAAGATCCGTTGCGTAATCTTGGAGATCTAAGCATGTACATACTATGTATTGATATAACCACATAAAAACACCGCGGATCGCATAGGCGACTACTTTCGAAAATGTAGAATACACATAAACCCCGAATAAATTTCGGCAATATATTTTACAAAATATCACGCTAGACTATTGGCAATTCCATCACAAGGAGCCGACCACCCACCAGAGTTAGCAAAAAAAGATTGACTCGGCTATTTCGACCAACCTCCTTTAGGAGAGCTCCGTTCGACGTCGTCATGCAGAATGTGACAGGTGATACCGATAGCAGACAATGGAATTACACCAGTTGGTGTAATTTGAGCGCCTCAATAGGCCACCTGACTCTTCTTTAAAGTAGGTCTCAAATTATTAATCAGCCTTCGATTAGATAAAAAAAATATTACCATATTTTTTGGGACCTACAACAGGGTAAATTTTATTTTAAAAATGAAGTTTAAAAACGGCGTACGCCAGGTTAGTCTATAGATTATCTGTGTTGTGAAGTTTAATCAAATAATTATTTTACCTTTATCATATTAAAAAATAGTGATTTTAAATTTCGGAAGTTTTTTTTTTTATTTGGTCAATTTTAATGAATTGTTTATAGGAGTATTTTTTTTTGAACAGTTGGTTACACTGCTATCATTAACAACGGTTTGCTTACAAGCTATGTGACGCCAAATCATGGCCGCAAGCGTTTTCAGCGTTTAGAACAAAAAATAAAAGTAGCAATTTTTGAATTGAAATTGTGCAGTCATCTTTCATTTTTATTAACCGAAATCAATATATTTCGGTTTTGGAATACTGCATGAAATACTCATTTAGAGGGTCAAATTTGATATGAGTCAAGTAGCCTATTAGGGTGCGCTAGTGTCGTCATGCCATTTCGCCGTTTTAATGTCAGACCTACTATTACGAGAGTTGTAGGTAGTCTCCGACTAAAATGTCTTTAAGATAAGCACCCCATGTACAACTCTTGCGTACAGCCTACATTGCCCTACGCGTGCGTGTATCGCGCACGTTCCTTAAACAAACATGAAGAATGTTCAGATATTGCAAAATAAATCCATCCGCATTACAACCGGAGAAAGTTGCTAAAAACACGTCCATCACAGATGATGTTTTAATACAGATGACGCATACATACGGCATATCAACCACGTCGCATAGGGACGTCGAAAAATTATCGATAAAATAGATATATCGTTTTTTTTAAATATATCGATATATATCAAATATATCATAATATATAAATAATAACAACATTTTTAAAATCTTAAAGTTAAATAAAAATATTTCAGTAACCACATAGGTGGTCAGGTTGTCTTTGGACATAGGCCTCCCCCAGTTCCCTCCACTTATCTCTGTCTCGAGCTGTCCGCCGTCCGCCCATCTTTGATTTGCCGTCCTTTTTGCCTTTCCCGTTTCTAGATTACCATTCTATTACGTCTTTTGTCCATTTTCCCCTGACCGTTCTCGTTATATGACCAGTTGTTAGTACAGTAGGAGTATAGACGATTAATAGTATGGGGGTTAAATTATTGAAATATAAAAACTCGTGCGGCGGGGCTACGCTCTGGGAACCGGTGATCAGTCGTTGAAGTGTAAACGTGATTTGTTATTATTCTTATATCGCTAAGAAAATAATATTGTGTGCAGAGATTTTGTTCCTTTTGTTTTATAAATGTTCTTTTTAAAAAATAAATTCCTTACGGATATTCTAGACTATATATTTCTTAACTTTCGACATCCCTAACTGCGCTGCTTTAAAAAATTGTTCCGTGTTGCAACAGTGTGTTTGTGAAATATACAATCTCAAAAATGTTTTCATTGATACCAAACATATTAAAAGTGAGCTGCTGCATAAAATTAAACTGTCTAACCTTGTGTGAACCCTGTTGCATACAATGCCGTTAAACTTGTCTAAAATTTTCTCCATTTGAAATTCATATTAACTATTACTCAGCAAATTAGCAAATATTCTTATTTAAATGATCTTTTGCTTCAAGGTCAAAATTTATTTAGAAATGCTAACTTTATTCTTTTGGAACAGCGGGTAATAATTGTTAAGTCATTTTGAAGAACTAAAATTGTTTACAAAATCAAAGTCAAGCTATAAATATGGATTTGGTATTTCCATATCATCTATAACTAAAACCGTACAAATATCAGCTAACAGTATTTACAGTTTTTTTAACCTAGTTAATGTAAAATAAACATTTTGAACACTAGGTTAAAAAAAAGGTTGTTTAATATCCTCCATTAATCTAATTAAATTATTAATATTAACAATTACCAAAAACAACACAACAACTGTGTTTAAGAAAGCTGTAAATAATGACCTTTTGAAACTACTTGATAACAAAACAAAGGTCAAGAAATAACTAAACTTAAGTTGTATACCAGCAAAATTTAAACTTAAGTTGTATACCAGCAAAATTTAAACTCAACAGTATAATCACTATTAAAGTAAAAAAAAAATATCTTACCCTTCTACTAATGTTGTGTGCTGGATTAACCACAAATCACACATTGTCCGGGATACTAGAGACAATGCAATTAACATCATAAATCCACTCTCTTTTGACCACAGTCCAGGAACCATTATCTTCCATAATGCTATCAATTCTGCAAAGAATCTTGCATCCACTTGTGCTTTTGGGCTCTTTTTGTCTTTGTCTTTTATCATGTACTGCACTCTTTCTTCAGGAGAAATGTAACCAGGTCTTGCATGTTTAGGTTTACTAAAAATATATAAATTTATTAAAAAATATCAATTGTGGTGAAGCCCCCTGTAAGAGGGGGGGGGGGGGGGGACTGAATTGTATACTGAAATATATTATAAAAACTACCCTAACCTATGCAATGTTACTATGGTGATATTTATTGGTTGTGGTAGGTGGAGGCTCTTACTTAGGCCCTTCTATGTAGGCTCTATTTCTGGGTGGTTATAAAAAAATTAACCAAAAAGGCTCAGCTCCCGCCTTAACCTTCTAACCTAATCTGTCCGAGTCGGATTGATCTGAATTGGGCTGTCAACCATAATGATGATATCTAAAAACTTAATCAACTTGAAAGACGATTAAAATATAATTTACCTCTGTTATATTTTCTATTTGTCTCTTTTTTTCAGGCAAACATTTACCGTAAGCCAAAAATAATTTTGCGGTCTGAAATAACATGCGTTAAAAGATGATATACTCATTAAGTTGTCTGTTTCTAATTTTTTAGAATGTAATTATGTAATTTTTTTGGGCCGAAATACGAAACAATAGTGTTCTAAACGATTCCTACAAAACTTAAAAAATAATTTCTCGAAAATTATAAATTTCCGCAAAAAATCCTTCTAGTATTTACTTCAATGACTTATTACCTACCTATTGAAATTAAAATTATCACGAAATTCGTGCGACCGTAAACTAAAGCAAATCCATATTATTCATCAAATACTTCCATACAGATATTTATATTTACTTAATTTTCTTTATCTTACTAAATTACTATCTTTAAAATTGATTGCAAAAATGCTTGTTTATTTTTATTTGACACAAAATATTCTAATTTACTTCTGAAATCCACCATGTACTTGAAAACTTACCTTGACTCTATGGAATTTTTTATATACCATGCACTTATTGCAGCAGTAGCAGCTATTGCAATTTTCACATCTGTCCTCGAAGTAATTTTACTAAAGTTCGGTGCCATTGTAAAATTTAATAACAAAATTTAGATGTGACCACTAAAACAATATATAAAAAAACTTATGTTTGACACATGATATCACCTCACTAAACTTTGTATCACATTTAATTATCCTCGTTCTAAATAGAACGTTATCACCAGTTCCACTATTAGTACTGCAATCAAAAATGTCAAAATTTGTTCTATTTTCATTAACTTGCAAATTGAATGAAAATATCTGATGGAACAGCACGCTAATGAATGACTCGTACCGCTCACTGTCCACAGATAATTAGAACTTTATACTAGTTATATTACAGTGTATTAAATTAAGGTAGTCACAACATAGTATATGTAATAATACTACACTAATAATAATATTGTTTATTATTAATAATATTATTTTCAAAAGACTAATTTTTTTGTGTAGTTTGCAGTTAGCCAGTTTGCAGTTTGTAGTTTGTCAAAGCCTGGGGATTTGACAGCTTCACTGGAAGGTTTGTAGGCAGACGAACCGTAGTTACCGTTGACTCAGGAGTGAGGAGAACAATAATTTACCTAGCATCGACATGACGATGATGGCATTAGATAGCCAATAGAGTCATCAGTCTACTCGTGAGACAGCGCCATCTCTTGAGGCGGGAACGAACTACAAGTTCAGATGTTTATAACCTGTACTAATTAACCATTTTGTTTTTACAGTTGAGAGCTGTATTCAACTACAGTTTTCTATATAGTGTATATAAAATTTATTTTATTTATATTTGATAACATTTTATAGAAAACTGTAATTGGATACAGCCTTGCTAGATGTTACTTTCGGATAAAGTAAATAAAATACAGAAATATGTTTTGCGGACTCATTCGTTTTTTATAATATTCACTCGCTATTTTTTTATAATCTTTTTTATGAATGATTTCGAGTATGGTGCTGTTTGGTAAATTATTTACGTTAAACTATTTTTGGCTATCCAAAATCAGTAGATCTCCTCCAATCGATTGAATCCATGTTTTAAATCAGTCATTATCATTTTCAGGTGTGAAAAAAATGCAAATTTGCGTTGCAGTCTTTACCTGTAAATACAATATGAATGTTTTGCCGAAACGTATAACAAAAAAAAAATGATGAATAATGAAAGATAACCGAATAAAATAAATGAATAATAACCGGCCGCAGTTCAGTGTTACCAACTGTTGAAAAAAAAAAACTGTTTTGCCGAAACGTATAACAAAATAAAATGATGAATAATGAAAGATAACCGAATAAAATAAATGAATAATAACCGGCCGCAGTTCAGTGTTACCAACTGTTGAAAAAAAAAAAAAACTCCTAAAGAATTTCGAAAACCTCCTAAAATCCACTGTTTTCAAAAAAAAGCTTCCTTAATGAAAAAGTCACCTTTTTTAAAAAAAAATTATACAACAAGCTAGAATAATTATCGGAAAATTTAATTATCTGGGTAATTAAAACTGTTTTATTTAAAAATTAACTTAATTAATATACTTGACCTTGCACATTGTTCATTGACTTGAAAAATATTTATACAAATTAAATACATTTTATTGTGACGTTATAATCATTATTTTTAAGAATCTTACAATAAATAATGGGAATAAGTATCATTCAATTATAAAAGATCTGGATGAAACATACCTACCTTTAAATTCATTTTCTTTTTCCCACTTAGCAGCATATTTTTGAACATATCCGATGGCAATTTTCTCACCATTTGGCATTTTATATTACTTATTAAATGAAATTAATATATTATGAGTAGCCGTCTATTCACAATAAGAGTTTATGGCGGAACAATTTAAAATACTACATAGGCCAATGCTGCCTATACTATTACATTATATTTTGTGTTTTTTTTTTTTTTCAAATTAAACATTTTTGTTTAATAAAATACAATTTTATACAAAATAAGAACCATACATTTTTTTTATTTATTTTAACTTAAAATAAATTTTTTTTTTAATTTAATGGTACGAAGGTTAAAATAGTTTTGCATTTAATAATAAATAATAAACATATTAAATGAAACTACTTTACGGATTTTATCGCGTTTTTTATTTTAATTTAAATTCCCGACGTTTCGAACCGTTTCCAGAGTTCATGGTCACAGGACAGACTGGACAAGAAAACAATAAATAATAAACATTTAATAAACAAATAATATACATTTAATAAACAACGCCATCTGTTTTCGACGGACGGAACTAAACGGAATGAGCAAGCTCCATACAAATATCAAATGTACGCACTGAAAAGACCGTGGCATTAGCTTCCCTGCGTCTATATCATATATACTGACATATATACTGGTCTATATAGCATTTTTGGTAGAAGCGGGCGTGGACGTATTTTATGGAAGTTATATTTACTCTTCTATAAAATACAGCCGAGAAAGCAATGGTTCAACTATTGTTCGTCCACAAAACGGTCCTTGCAATTAAGTGAACTTTTTGTCAATGATTTTTTTTTTACTAGAAATATTTAAGTACTACTAATAATTTTGGGGAAAGCCTATGTTAAGCAGTGGACGTCCTACGGCTGATATGATGATGATGATGATGAATAATTTTAATAACCCGATCGTAATGTCGACGTCGCGGCGTCTAGGGGATTATTGTCGCATTTCTATAAAGATAATGAAAATAAAAAATATAAATACTATTTATGCCACGAAAAATTAAGCCTTAGATTAACTACAGATAATTTGAGGAACCGTTTAAAAACAAAACATCATCAAAGTCCCTATATATACCTAAATATTGTAAGAACTAAGAAACTGCAATTCAAACTTCTATTTCGTGTTGGATAAGTTTCGCCCTCTAAGCTGTCTTCAAATTCTAGTTACAACGTCGACCGTTTTCTACAACCGTTTCATTCGTGGCGGCGACAAGAAAATTTGGACGACGACCACCTCTAATTTTTGGCAATAACGGCTACATATAGATCTAAACTGTGATGTTAACTGTTGTCTGTTATTGCTGTTTTACCTAACGTTGAATAAAGATTGAACAGGGCTGTTGTCATTTCACAGCCTGCCACGAAGCACGACAGTGAGCCACCTGTATCCATCGCCTTCCCACTCTTTTGCGTCGGTCAAGTCGTCACTCGGGGACTGTGTTAGTGTCTACACTGCGATGACCAATACGTGGTTGCCACGAGAGAACCTTTCTTGCCCATCGGTTTTCGAATAGAATGTCTTTAGGTTGCAAGCATTCTTAATTATGTGGAGCTTCAGCGAAATTGCTAATCAAGCATAGGTGATGTGAAATCGCTACTATATAAAAGGAGAATTGCTCAGGAATCGAACCTAGGGCGTTGCTAGGAAAGAGTCACGTTAAACGGTTAGATGTACATAAATAGTTCTTGAAGTGTTGAATGTACAATTTTAGAAAGAATACACAATTTTTTCTTTATACACATTTCTTCAAACAATCTTAATCTTTTTTGTCTTTAACATTCAGTTTTACCAATAATATTTTATACTATAAATATGTTATCAACGTGCACAAAGTGATGCCACGAAAATTGCCAATTGGGACGTCTCGTCTTTAGTTCTCGTTAGGCTGAGCTGTGACTAAGTGCTGTCAAAAATTTTACAATAATAAAAATGCCATCGTGTCTTTAAAAGATATTCCAAGTACAGATCTAAGGTTAACAAAATACAAGGAATCTCATAGCATGGATATAATGCAATATATTTTCGATGTATTAGTATATCTCAACTACTTTCCTTACATATTTTGTGTAGGTTATAGAATAAAGAAAGAGGCAAATAAATTTAAAAAATCTTTGGGTATATTGGTATTATTATTTTCTTGAGAGTGCTATTTTCTTGCAATAAACTCCGTGTGTTATTGTTTTGTAGCGCGCTGGCAAATTCATTGAAGTCAATTGTGGTTGGGCACGATATTATTTCTATGCGACTGAGCCTATCGGCGACTATGTGGTGTTTTGCCTTGTTCGCTTCGGAGTTTCTATTCTGTTTTCAGATGAGTCGTAGAATACTGCTTGGGTGGCTTCGTGAAATGGATGAGCAATTAGGTTGGCTTTAATGGTACTTGTTTTGATTGCTTTTACCGGGGTTTTTGGTGATTTCGTGGTCTTCCAACTTCTCAGGACAATGTGCAGGTGTTCCCGGATGGGTCTCGTCTTCTGATGCCAGTAAGAAATCGTCTACGAATGGAAAAACAAAATCCTCTAGGCCTCGTAGTACTTCGTAAATGTAGTGTTGGAACCTTTGCCCCTCGTTTTTTAAACGTGGGTACATAAGTAGAAATTCGAATAAATATAAACCCATTACAGTGATGATAGTGGTTTTCTCGATATCCTCTTCTCTGAAAGCTAGACTGCTGGTAAGTACGGTTAAGATCGATGAATGAAAATATCGTTTTGCTGGACAGGTGGTGAGTGAAATCGTGGGATGGGATAGCGGTCGTATTTTGTTATATTTTTGAGTCGGTGATACTCACCACAAACTCTAATGTATCCGTTCTTTTTGGGGACTATGTGGATATGGCGATAACCACGAACTTTTAGTAGGTCTGCATAAGCCATGTTGAATCATGATTTCAAATTCGTTTCAGTTTCGTAACGGTGTGGTGGTATTTTGGAGCTCGGCAGTGGATGCGGTTTCGTGCTTACGCACGAAACAGTGTGACAGTCCCGTGACAGTGTCTGTCCCGTGACCATGAACGCTGGAAAGGGTTCGAAACTTCGGGAATTTAAATCAAAATAAAAAACGGGATAAAATCCGTAAAGTACTTAGTTTCATTTAATTTGTTCACATTAGTTTTTTTTATGTAAGTGGCAAATGAGCTGGCAGTGGCAGTTCACCTGATGTTAAGTGATAACCGTTGCCCATGGATATTTGCAACACCTGTAGGGCTGCAAATGGGTTGCCACCATTAAATAAAGTGAGCCCCGGCTACCGCACTCACCAGATGCAGAAATGTAACACTTCTACTTTACCTCCGTCTTCTGTAAGGTCGTGGTATCTACCCGGAAGCCATGTGCCCATTCGTTCAATAGTGATCATTGTTGTGTGGTTCTTCCATGGTTAAAATAATTTATGTTTTATAATCGTTTCTGACATTTATTATAAATCGGAAAATATATTTCTCCCATACTTTTTAACATTTGTTAGAACTGCTTTCCATGGTCAGTAAACTCCTCACATTTGATAGACTTCACTAATTTCCTAGACACCAATCCTGAAATATAACCGATGATGATCTGTTTAAAGTTTTCGTCGTTAAACATTATCGAAAGCTCTTCCACATTTTCTTATAATATGGTCAATTTCATCAATATGTTCATTATCTCTAAATGTAAGAAGAATTTACAATAAATGTAAGAAGTAACGAATTTCTCGTTATAAGCTGGCCCACTTATTGTTGATTTAAAGTTCTCTACTGCAAATGAACATGTTAAAACAGTAATGTCTTTTAGAGGTACGTAATTTCCAAATGTTGATAATTTTTTTAAATTCTCTTAAAGTGTATGATAGAACGGATGCTTATTGTAGCTCCCATGCCGCCTTCTATCACCAAATAGAAATTTAAGCTTATCTATTGATAATCTATAAGTTTCAATATTGCAAGCGTTGTCAATGAACTAAAGTAGAATAAAGGTGAATAAACAAATCGATTGTGATAAAAACAATGTCCACACCCATAAAAAGACATTTAGGTACTCAAAAATTTTTTTAAAAATATATCTAAAATATAAATACGTGTGCTTAAGTAGCGACTTCGTATTATTTTGGTGAATCTGCACAAAAATCCACAAAGCCTACGTTGTTCGTTCCACTCCATGTAGTTTGGTGGACAATAGCCCCTGACTACCATTTTTGTATTTCTCTTCAAGAATATTTAATGCTTGATTTTTGACGCGATGATCACCAGAGCTTCTCATGCTTTTCATATCCATCACACGAGGATGTGGTACTGATGCAAATATCTGCCCAACATATTTTGTGGGCATCAGTACAATAGTAAGAGAAGTTTCACTTCCAATTTTATTAATGGTGGTGTATACTTTTTGCAAAAACTTATTATACTGGTTCTTTTTGAATTATTCTATTGATTTCGGCTTTGAGATTTAATTCAGTAAACTGATTTATTGTCAAATATTTTTTGCACTTTTTTAGTCTGTGTCTCTTGTAGAATTAAAGTATAACATTTTGATTACATATTACATGTATTTTTTTTATATTGGCAGCCTGCGCTTATCTCGAGAAAGTTTTCTTATTCTTGTCCAATGATGTTCTTATAAAAATGATGATCAATACAAGTTTAAATATTCAAAAATGCTGTCATTGGACTATCAAAAATTGACTCCGCTTCCGAAAAATCGACTTCTTCAACTACTTCCATACTTGTTGGAAATAGTATCGTATAGAATTCGTCTTGCTAAAAAACAATTTATATGAAGAATTTTGACAATGCTAATATACTTTAAATACTACAATTTAGTTTTTGGATGAAGAAGTATATAAAAGTGCTGAAAATAAAAGCCACACAAAAGTTTTTCCTTTTTCCTGTGCGAAATGCGCTGTTTTGAGGAACATTAAAGGTATTTTCCCAGTCAATGCGTCAAAGACATGTAGATACGCAATTATTCATCTCTTTCTAACAGGATTAGCGTTTGACGGATTTAATATGATATCTCCTTCGCCTAATGTATACTCGTGGGCGTTAGTTGTCTTAATTTAGCGGTTTTAGCGATATTTTTAGTGCAATGAATTTGGCATCTATAAAAAGCCACTAATTATTAATGCTATGACGTTCACAATTTTAAGTTATTTATATTAAGATACAATCGGTTTATGCGGTTATTAAAGAGATCAGTGGTATTGGCTTATAAACAAATGTTCTATATATAAATATACTCTGTGCTTATAAAGCGTCTGCATGTAAAACGACATTGGAATAAAACCATGATGCCAAAATTGAGCCGCAGTCAACTTAGTTCGATCAATACTGGCGTGGGGTGGGTGTGAGTATGAGGGACGGGTATAGTATATAGACAATAAGTTAGAGCGAGCGAGTGGTTGTATTTTACTTCAAATAGGTCACAGAAAGTGTTGCCTTATCACGAACACATCCGAATTTTGGGTTTATTAGTATGAGTAAAAGTACTTCTGTTCAATAAATAAAAGAAAATGAATTAACATTGAAAAGTGTACTCGTGTTGAATATTCTCTCTTTCGTGACATTCGTGACTTGACGATAGAATTAATGATATATGTTTTTGGGACCCATTTAGACCTATTACAATACGGTTTTCGTACTGGTCACAGTACAGTCCGTGCTTTACTGAAAGTATCCGATGATACACGCTGGCCTATGGACAATAAACATCTCACAGTTCTGACATTACTGGACCACAGTAGTGTATTTAATTCGGTCGACCATTATGTGCTTCTGGGTGTTTTGTCATCGTTAAATATCTCGGTTTCGGATGTCTCATGGTTTCAGTCATACGTTGACAACCGCACGCACTGTGTTCGCCACGAGGATGAATTTTCCGAGTGGTGTGATCTCACTGCTGGCGTTCCTCAGGGGAGCGTCTTTTCCCCCTCCTTTTCCCCATGTTTAGTAACGATTTCGTTTCTATCCTTACTTCTCACTACCATCTCTACGCTGAAGACTTACAGCTTTGTCGTCATTTTAAAATTGAAGATGCCAAGGAACATCACTACTATACTTAATGCTGACTTGAGCAGAATTAGTAATTGGGCAAAGTCTTTTGGACTCCTCGTTAATCCCGCCAAATCCAACTGTCAAAAATTTGAGAGAGGTTTTTGATAAACATACGTCATAGGCATCTCATATTAACCTCATTAGCAAAAAAGTTAATTATTCGTTCCAATCCCTTAAACATCTTCCATTCTTTCTATCGATAAAAAAAAAACCATGTTAGCTCATACGCTTCTTCTTCCTTTAATAGACTACGCGGATACTTGTTTCTTTGACGCTACGAAAGAAATTTGGAATAAATTAGAACGTCTTCAAAACCTTTGCATTCGTTTCATTTTCGTTCTCCGCAAATTCGATCATGTTTCGGAGTACAGGAAACAATAAAATGACTCCCCGTCTCGTTCCTTCTTATCTTCGAGAACGTTTTTTTTCATAATTAGTACCACGCGGAACTAAATACGAGCCAATTCTTTGTTTCTTAAAATTCCGTCCCACACATCTAGATGGTATGGCCAAACATTTACAATAAAAGCAATCAAACTATGGAATTCACTTCCACACAGCATACGTGCCAGCCCACCCATAAAAATTTTCCGCAGTATTAATTTTAGTCTGTATGTTGATTTTAATTGTACACATCTACCTCTTTTCCTTTGATTACTTATTTATTGTTAATTATTGTTATTAAAGGTTTGCTGGTAGAGACTTCTTTTTAGGGTCAAGCTCGCCTTTGTACAATCCTTTATAGAATCCTTCATTTGTAACTGTATTTTTTTTGTGTACAATTTATTTATTGTACAATTTATTCATTTGTAAAGAATAACATATATCTTATCTTTTTTGATTCCATAAGCTAACATAAATGATGTTTGTACTTTTTATTCTAGTAACTCTGTTTGTTGTAGAATTTTCCGGACAGATGTTTTATCCTTTTCATTCATAGTCGTTTTGTCTCTCTTCTACTAATGCTGACGGAGTGGAATATTCTGGAAAACATGTGCCATCTTTTTTCATCTTATAGCTACTTCCCTTTCATTCGCTTGTAGAACATTCTAGAAGGGTAATGCTCCGAATGTCGGAATGTGGTTATCAAATAGTGTTTCTGTTACTTAGGTTGTCTTCCTAAATTAGTCGGATATTCATGTGACGTTGGTCTATATAAGCGACCCGACTTTGGCCGACCCGTGAAATCGTTTTAGGCACCATAGTGAGAAGGTAGAGCTGTTGTAGTAATGTTATTTATAGTTGGGCGTTTTTACATCACTAGTAGGATTAAATATTTCCTTAATGTAGGCTAGCTAGTAGTCAGGATCATTAAAATGGGGTTGGTCCGGATAAATTTAAAAGAAGATTGCGATCCAGTGAGCTGAATTCATGCCAAGATGGCCGTGTCATCGCCCGGTTGACGAAAACTGCAGACGACAGACATCACGTCCACCATTCGTGTTAAATGTGAGGTAGGTAATTTTATAAATATATTTATAACCAAGATTGTAAAGTTGATGCGCAAAAATAACAACTTCGTACCTATCTAACACGAGAATTTCAAAACTGCGCAAATTGTTACGTAATGTACGTTGTCTTGAAAGAATCCATGGTCCAAAAGTAACTAATAGTTTTTCTTGTGGTCTACGGTCTTTTAGGGCGTTTTAGGTTTAAGTTGCTTACGCTTTTTGATGAAAAACGTGGTGACGCCACAAATCAAAATGGCGGCGTTGTGTATCAAAATGGCGGCGTCGTACATCAAAATGGCGGCGTTGTCTTAACTTGCTAGTATATTGTTAACAATTTTATATATCCTATACTATGGACTGCATGTTATTAGGCATACTACATATTAAGAAATGCTTACGTTGAACCAACTATCTTTTTCGAATGGTTCACCATTTCGTTTTTAGAGGGAATGGTGTGACATGTATATGGCGTAATAAACAACTTGTATAGTTTTAAAATAACACGTACTAAGGTATATCTAGGGCTAACAATTTTCTATCAACTTGAATAATCTTCGGAAATAATTTTACAATATTACGTACAGAAACAGTTTTATATTTCAGACTAAATTGCAATCCACCTACTAAGTAGATAAAGCATTACCTACTAAGTAGTGAAAAATATTACGTCAGTAAATGAAAATAATTAGTAAAAAAGTAGAAAAGTTGGGAGCTGGTACTCTATTTCATAAACGTTAAAATACCAAGACAAATATTATTGGTACAAAATTTAATTTTTCAATTTTTATCTTAGGGACGTAGGCTACACTAAAGCTTTTTAGGATTTTGGTAAAAAATAATTGTAGCGCATATAAACTGTTCCACATTTTCATGTACAAAATTTTAACTATACTTTAAAAATTTCCTTTTATTAACACATTATTTTCTTCTTGAGCAAACGATTGGAAGGTGTTGTTTTGATCCGTTATATTTCCATTTTATAATATTTCAGGAATTATGATTTATTTTGCGTCAACCATCACCGTCGCCGCCTACGTTGTTCCACACAATGTTCAGCATCGCAATCACAGGCCAATCGCAGCTACTACTAAGTCGTAGTGAAACATTGACTTGTTCTAAGTCGATCTTAAGGCGCGTATAGTATCAACAGGAACGAGTCTGCGATAGCCAAATTTTTAGAACAAAGGTATTTAATGACGTTCGTTGTAAATGAAGATGAAAATTTTACACAAAATCTAGCTTTAGTTGATAACTTAGACGTAGTTTTATCCATTAAACCGTCGGTATTCTTGTCAACCATTGAAAATGCAACAACTAACTACAGCGCATCAATTCAATCATAAATTACTCGTTCTATGGCGCTTAGATAAGAAACTAAAAATCATTCAGCTTTTTCTGAGAACTATCGTGTTCTGAACATTTTAAGTTAGAAAAAGCGTTCTCTATCCGATAGAGATATGCATGATGTTATCTGTTTTATCGTATAACGTTTTTTTATTATACACTTGACAAAAGAAAAACATAATCTATGCAACCCTGTAATTATATTTCAGATGAACTATTTAGGTGTCGCAGCTACGGGTCGGTTATACAGAGGAGCAAATTTTTAGTTAGGAGTCTGGGTAGGAATTTCCGTATCCAGTAGACATTGGAGGCACTATAGATCGTGAATATTCGGGCAAAGAGGAACAAAATGCGCAGTCTTAGACATATAAACAGAAATTAATTTGTCAAATGATAGAAAAACTTGATTAATATTACAGAGATAATATTAAAAGCCAATAAATTGTTTCTTATCCACGAGACACTAGAATGTAAAGTTAACTTTTAAGCAATAAAGATAATCAATCACGAGGTTAACATTTATTTTGCCCTGTTTCCTGGTTCGGGCAAGTAATATTATAAGGTAAGAATCAACATGTGTAAACTATTTTACTATAACTAACCGCCCTACGTTAATGTATTCAATTTAGTATAAGAAATGCGTTATCATATAAAACTCTAGCTTGTAGACGAAGTGGAGATTAGGGGTAGGAGTATAAATGGCTCACGTGAACACTTTCATACTATAGGTAGGTAATTAGACGTCTTTAGTTTATCTGGTCCATCATCTGGTCCATCTACACCATTGCTGCGTATAAATATTGTTAAGGACATGGCGTAAACAGCGGTCATCTATATTTACGTGTTACATAGATTTAAGTCGCGTCACTTATTTTAGAGCAAATAACGTGTTTTTTTTACGAACCTACGAAAATGATTCGCCAATAAATTGAATAATTTTAAGCTATTTTAAGCTAATTAGTCCGTCCACATTATTTGAAGTACAAAGTACAAGGTTACAAAGAACGGGAGAAGAAAATTTTGAGTAGATATATAAGTGCGGACGAATTTTGGAACTTATTCGGGCACTTGTTCTTGCTAAATCTTATATTGTTAGGTAGGTACCGTACTTAAACAGAAGCTGATAGTAGACTTACCTAAAATTAATAACGATGATCAAATTCGCAAGTGAGGTGGTTTAAAATAAATACAAGGTTGAACAACAGTAAATAATATAGATTGTGTAAAATTAGAAGCGTGTTTTTATTATGCGCCCTGTATGAATATTATATTTTTGACGCGCCAAAATAAGAGATTCATATTATACATAGTTTGAGTAGAACATATACCATGTATCGTTATTAGAGAATTGATAATTTATAAAGGAAACTATAACTAAATTAACAAATTACTTTATAGTACTTCTTTAAGTTCATGAAGGAAAACTTCACCGAAAAAATCCTTGGTAATAATGGCTAGGCGTCAAGTCGATAAATTCTTTTGGAACGTTCAATGTGCTTGGAACGTTATAACTATTACACAGATATTATGGTAAAGGTAAATAACTTAACTCCGGCGTAATTCAAATCAAATAAATTTTAAACGATAGAGATAAATCTCTAATGAATTAATCAACAAGCAGAATTCGGCGGTCGCTTGTAGTTTTCGAGAAAAAAAAAATTTAAAACTTGTTTTTTGTACTAAGAAATCCACCATTTTATTTGTTTGACTTCAAAAACTTAGTACACAGTTCTGGCAACATGATAAATATAGGAAGCGGGCGACATCATACACGTATCGATATTCCGATTTTTTTTTAATTTAATGAGTCACAGAACCGACACAGAGCGAATCCGACTCGGATGGATTAGGGTAGAAGACTGTTATGCCAAACTATTACATGAGGAGCAGTTACAAAGTTTTACCTCCAGGTATAAAATCTATATTTACAGGAAATTTACGAAGACCAACGATTACAAACATTTATTTCTTAGTATTTAGGGGATAGATATTTATATATCCTTGACTTGTTAGCGACGGAACAAATTAACGAATTCCTTGTAAGATAAGGATTTCAGGACAGTTGTATAATCGAATGCATTTAAGTCAGACTGTATGGTATTGCGATAGAGCGAATATTTTAGTTTCAATAAAAATTACTTATGTAAAATCTAAAACAACTTGTTCCAGTCAAATTCCTAGACTATAGGAGACGTGGCTATAGATCTTACAGGCTTTGTTTTTATTCTAGGGGGTATGTGTAGGTAAAAAAACGAATAAAATTGACTATAAAATTCTGTAGAGTGATGTTCCAACTTTTTTTAAAATTGCAAGAATATGTATTATAGCTATCTTTGGCTCGTAGTTTTTGTAGGCATTTTTCGGATGTAATTTTCCATAAATCTGTCGCTATACATTTTTGTCATTCTTAAAAGCTAAAATATAATAATAATGGAAAAATTTAGATATATGCATAGTCGCACTTGTGCAAAACTAATTCTACTGCAAATTTTTCAATCGACCCGAATGGTTCATCGGTAGTGTATCTGCGAAAGAGGGTGTGGGTTCAATCCCCACTACTGGAAAAATATTGTGTGATGAACATAGTGTTTTTCTAATGTCTGGGTTTTTATATCTATAATATGTTTTTATTTACAAAAGAAAAGTATGTTTATCAGTTATCTAGTACCCATAGTACAATCTTTGCTTAGTTTGGAACTAGAGAACGTTGTGTATAAATGTACTAAAAATATTTATTTATTTGTGATTCACTATCTCCCTAGTTTTTGGTATGTGGTTTGTTGGTAACAAGTTTACATTTATCGATAAATAATGTCATTTTAAGTGATAATAGATATATTTGAGTAATGTATTATCTTTTTTTTTTTTTTTGGATTATTCACAGAGGGTATGATTGTTTTGATTCACCATTGTCATGTTTAAAAGGATAATTTCATTGTTGAAAACAATTAATTTCTTAAGAGATTTCACTGCAAGTTTAGACTTTCTCACTTGTGGCTAATTCTGTTTATTTTAATATCATATTGGAAACCTTTGCATGCACCACTGTAATGCACTGATTAATTCATTGTTAATAATTTCTAAAAACTTTAAAGTCTTTAAACTAAAAGTCATGTTTTTGAAAGGTACTGTCTGTCACATGGGGCGATTTTAAAAGTAATTTGCACGAAGAAACTTTAATGGTAGGAAAAAAAAATTAATAAAGGAATTGCGAGTTTAGTGTGAAGGTAATTTATCGCAATTACTTTATCTACTATAATATAAGAATAAAATAAATCTCTAAAATGAGTATTTTCTGGTTGTTCTAGTCAGACCTTTAGACGTGTAAAAATAACGAGTACTTATATTTTAGTATTAAAGTTTTATCGAATGTGTAATTAATTTGAAGCGAATTTATAACTTGTATGACAATTAAAACATGTAGAAAAAGTACGAAAAGATTTTCGTCGGTGTGGTAATCAGCCGTTTAGCTCAGTGGCTAGAGCGTCAGGCCGCGAATGCCGAAGAAGTGGGTTCGATTCCCACAGCGGCGACAATCTTTTCGTACTTTTTCTACATGTTTTAATGTTCAATCTTAAGTGCAGAGATTAGCACTATAAACAATTTAAATTTGTATGACAATGTATTATGTAGTAATCTAATCTAAATGTCAAATAGTAACGAATTACTTTTGGGGCTTAAATTAAATTTAGTAATAGACCAGAACTTTAGGCGAAATAGAAAGCAGATAAAGCGTATTTCGGAAGCATTTGAAGCAGAGTTAGAACCCATATTATAAAGATAGGAATGTTCCGCAATTAGTCACTAGTCGCGAACTTTATCTGTCAAGTGAAACCACTTCTGTAAAATCTATGCGTATCGATTTAATAGACATGAGGTATAATTTGTTTTTTGGAAGTTGAGGAAACTAGTTTTTACCGGACATATAAATAGGTAAATAATATTACATAAATATTCAAGCAAGAGCATGAAATTATAGACAAACTATAGTAATTAGTATGAAAGTAATATGGACATTTAAAAAAAAACCACTGTCAACCGTGTGCCCAACTATAGAACAGTTTTCTTTTCGGGAGGAACTAATTGAAATTATTTTATGAAAATGTTTTTATATTATTTCTATCTAGCCTTGAAACGTACGTGGTTGAGAAATAACACATTCAAAAAAATTTTAACTCAAAGACAATCAACAGTAAGGAATACTAAAACTTTTACTAGGTACGATTTCAGTTACGAAGTTTCAAAGTTTCATTTCAGTGATAAAATGATATTTAATAAGTTTTATCGATATTTAATAAGTTTGAAATTTGTTGGTTGTCCAACAGTATATTATAAAATTACGTAGTATACAGCTGAAGTTTTAAAGATAGCTTTATGAGAGTAACAATTTTGTAAGTAATAGATTATGAAGGTACAAATGTATAACCGATGACAGATTTAGCATAATAGTATATTTTACACACATTTAAGTAGTGCCATAATCATGTAATAGCAATTGATAGATTACCAATTATTTCAATTAAAAGAATAGATTAGATATATTGAAAGATTAGTAAGTCTGATAATAAGGTTTTTCATAAAACACAAAGAATTAATAAATAAAGAGTAAATACTTTCGGAAATGAGGATAAGGATATGCATAAACTGCTCCTTGGATTTGAAAAGACTAAATATTGGAACAGACTTTCTATCAGTTCTTCAATATCAAATGTTATTATATAAAGCCAGGATCACACTTGTAGAATACGACTATGAGGAAAGTACATACCGAAATAAATAAAATACAGAAATTGATGATGTATTCTTGGAAACAAATGTCACTAATATCAAATGTAATGGCCTTTTCAAAGTGCGATCTTCGTGACAAGATAGACCTTTTTAAAAAGTTAGGAAACAAAAGGCGAATTCGACGAATCTCTAACCAAATGCCACAATTCAAATTGAAAAATTCAAGAAATTTAAAAACTTGGATAATTCAGACCTAATCAATATAATTATATAAATGTAGGAAGGAATAAGAGTTGTAGTAAGAGAACTTGTTGCAAAATAATTAAGAATCGGTCACTAACAAGAAGTTTTTTCTTTTTAATTAAGTAAAATGTACAGATCACAAAAGAATACAACAGGATAATAACGGAATAAGATAGGAACTGTTAAATGAAATGCTTAATTCGATGGCAATATTTTTGATTTAAATCACGGTTTCAAAG